GTTACAAGCCCCATACTTAAATAATTAAGCCATCTGACTAGGCTGTTTCCTTTCCCAATGAAATACAATGAGATCAATATACTTACTTGATTAAATCCACCTCGCTGAGATGCCTTAAAATGTTTGCTAATATATGCTTCAGGTTCTTTTGGAAGAGCTCGGCAAAAATGTCTATTTTATCTAGCCCCATTTTCTTTCCAATTAAGTTACAAAGTTCAACTTTTCCCCTAAAAACAATTCTGTCTATAGCAGCCCAAGACTTGAGATTTCTTTTACCATTTTTTTTCAAAGTTGAGCAAATCATGTCTTCATAATGGCTTACTGGCAGTAAAGTCTTCTTTGAGAACTGTTCTTGGTTTTGGTTCTTCCTGAGACAATGTTTTGGTGTCCCACAGAGATTCCCAGCCAAAGGTATACTATCCTCATGTTCTATTGTATCAGCATACTGAGTATTTAACATAGAGGAATAACCACTGTCCTCATTAAGTTTACTGTTTTCCAGTTCCTCCATTTCATAGATAACTTCATCAAGTCTCTGGGTTACTTGTTCGTTTTCTTTGTTATATATTGGTCTTCCTCCATCTTCAAGTTCTAGATTTCTGGTGGCTGCATGATATGAGTCACTAGGGAATATTTTCTGATGCTCTTCTGCACAGTTTTTACAAAAGCCTTCCTTGTAATTCAAGGGGCAGGATTTTTCCAGCCTTGTTTTCTCCACAGTAGATTTCAGTGGTGCAAACCCAGCATGAAGAGATGCACAGTCAAAATCACGTTTCATTTTGCAAGAGCGGTTAAGGTTTGATTTCATTTTGTTGTTTGTATCCTGCAAGAAACAACAAGGACAGTATTACAACACAGTGTAAACTACATCACAAATTATTCTTCTTATAAAGAATTGACCATGCCTTCCTTCTGCATTATGACTTTTATACTGTTATCTAACTCACTCTCTAGTGTCTGAAATACAACTAGTGGAACTATGGATTTGAAGAGCCGCTATGTAATTCAATCTATGTAAGATCATTTCAAAACTAGAGTTTTATGCTGCATATAACTAGGGCTAGGAAACTGACTGGCTGATTTACTTTGTCACCATTCCACCAGAATAGTTTACTTTTAGACACACCAATGCCTCCACTTTCTACCCTAAATGTAGCGACACGGGCAGGACACTTGCGGTCCCTGCAAGGGACACCAGTGGCAGAGGGTCCACGAGTGACAATCCGGAACAGAGAAGCCTAAAGTTTGCATCCAAGACCGGAGGCAATGCTGCTGCTGCAGCCAGGTATCTGGCATTTTTAAAAAGGGAAGAGGCTGGATGGCACACGAAAAACTCGAGTGCTCACATGGATGTGTAAATTACAAAGAAAAGCAGCCACCCCTAAACAATGGCCAGAGGGAAATAAAGGTTACTTACAAGTATGATTTTAAGAGAGTGAGAGGTCAATAGATATCATAGGGAAACTGAGCTTTCCTTGCCCTATTTCTTTCCCCTCCCCCCCAAAATACGGTGCTATCTATATTAACAATTGCAGGGGGATGGGCGAGGGCTGAAGGGGAGAAGGAAGCCATCGCTGCCCTGTTAAATCTAAAGGGGAAATAATTTTCAACATGCTTTGTAATCCATAGGAAATATAAGCTCCCCCATTTGAGCAAGAATTTTAAAGGATTTAAGCACTTCCAACAATTTTGGAAACAAGCATTAGAAAAATGTTTAATGAACGATTCAGAGAAAAAGTCCCTTCTTTGTACCTACGTTTAGTGGAAGAAAGGAGCAAATACGCTTATGGCTTTGAGTAGTGTGAGTTAGGTGAGAGATGTAAGCCTCGCTAAGCTTCCTCCTTCCCTTCCCCCCTTCCTTGGGAGCGAGTAGAGGAACTTTTGGGCTGAAATCCTAATGAATTGGAAAATGTCCCCCCATCAAGGCCGGCCCTGACCCTCCGGAGGAGCGGGCTCAGCCGCGGGCCCCCGCGGCGCTGTCAGGCTTCTCCCGCCCAGAGCTCAAGATGGCCCGAATCGGCGGCAGGTAGATCGGGTCCCGGCTCTACCGTGCCCCACGGCCCCAGGACCCTCACCCTGCGCCTTCGGGGGTCTCCCCTTTCCCCAGCACTACAGGATTCCCCCTAAAACGCCGGTGGCGGGGCGAGCAGGAGCGCGCCGGGTGGATGCCCCCTCCGGCGGCGTGGCCCAGCGGGCGGGAGACAGTGCGGCGCGTCCCCCGCCGCGCTGCCCGCCGGCGGGAGGCCGACCCTGCGCTCCCCACCCCGGCTCGGACCGGGCCCGGCCCCGCCGGTGCGGCGAGCAGCCCAGAGCGCCCCACATGCGGCTCGTTGGCGGGATCGGGCGCTCCGTGGCCGCCCGTGCCGCCGTCCCGTCCCGTCCGTCCTTCCCGGCCGGCGGGACAGCTGCGGGGCTAGCTGCGGAGAGCCCGGACTGGGCGCCGCCGGGATCCCCCCTCCCCACCCACCATGACGAGCCATGCATTCCCAGTCCCTCGCTGGCGTACGCCGGCAGCCCCCGCCACCCCGGTCACGGAGCCTGACGGCGGAGCCCCGCTGGCCCGAAGCCGGTCCAGCCCGCGGAGCCCTGAGCACGGAGCCCCACACCGCCGGAACCGGCTGGTGGACGGATGGCTCACCCTGGCGCGGGCACTCACCTCTGATGCGGCGCCAGCGGGGCAATGCGTGGTCCGCGCTCGCCGGGCGCTTTTTAAAAACTTTGAATTTGGGTATCCAAAACCCGCGCCGGCCATCGCGCCGCGCCCTCGGGCGGGACGCGGCCCAATGGGAGGCGGGCAGAAAGGCGGGGCCAATGCGGGGCGCGGGGGGGCGGTGCCGCCGCCCGGCCCGGCGTTTTCCCTCCCTGGCGCTCTGAGGGAGGCGGGCGGCGCGGCCGCGGCTCCCGCGCGTGGTGGCTCCCGCCCGGCCGCGGGTCCCGCCCGCCCCTTCCTCCCGCCCTCCAGCACCCGCACGGCCTTGCGGCGCTCTCCCCAAAGAACTGCCGCCTTCCCCGCCCCGGGAGTGACGCGCCTACGCTCAACCTGGCGCCCAGCTACATCTCCGGTTTTTTTTTAAATGGATGAGCCTGGGATTCTCCCATCATCCTGACACGCTCCCAATGTGCAAAGCTCCTCTGTCGGGGAAGGATTCTCTCCCTCACTGGAGATATTCAAGAACCGTCTGGACGCAATCCTGTGCCATGTGCTCTAGGATCATAGGATCATAGAATCACAGAATCAGCCGGGTTAGAAAGGACCTCTGAGATCATCAAGTCCAATCCTTGGTCCATTACTGCCGTGGTTACTAGACCACGGCACTAAGTGCCACATCCAGTCTCAAGGATCTCTCACGACCCTGCCTGAGCAGGGAGGTTGGATCAGATGACCCACTGTGGTTCCTTCCAACCTTAACCATTCTGTGTTTCTGTGATTTAAGTCTGTGATTAAGGTGGATCTTGCATCTGGGCTCCTTCCCATAAAAGAATTGTATTTATTTTAAAGCATGACCAATGCTATTAGCAGCTGAAGTGTGAGGAGAAGCACCACTGGAAGCTAGGCTGACCGGACACCAGTGCAAGGATCTCTGCTGCTGCTGCTGCTGGAAATGCAATCTGCTCACAGCTCAGGGAAGTTGCATTTTCAGAGACAACATCCCTTGTGTTAAAATTAATATAGAGTAAGGCTTGCCATGATGAGCCAAGGACAGCAAAGTCCTGTCAGATGCCAGTTTTAGGATACCTCAGTCAGGCTCCTGCTAGAACCACATCATGTCTGGTTTTTCTCACACAGGTCAGAGGCTGGTCACTTGCAAGGCAACACCACCTCTAGTGTCTGTTGAAGAGCTAGATGAGAACAGGCAGGCTGTGAGCCAGGCAGGATTTGGCCAGACGGGCTACAAGTTTATCTAAGTTTTTCATGCAGTAATCCAGTGCTCAGACCCAGTTGATGTCTCTTATTTGTTTGGATGAATATGGAGCTGAAGTTAGAAAGAACTGCAAACTCTATCCATCACAGGATGTAAGAAAGCCTGGCTTTAAGTCAAGTCAGTAAGACTCTCACAAGTGCTCTATAGTCTTCCATTTGCAGTACGGATCTGGTAGGAACAAAGACTTCAGTCCTAGCTTCTGTGCCAATCGATACCTAATGAGTCAATGTTTCTTTTTACTTTTTATGTGCCAGTTGGGAGTTGTAAAACTATTAGTAAATGAAGACCTAGGTCTCATGCTTACCAACAGGATATATGTATGCCTTACCTCACGCATATAGATATTCCTACATCTGAAGTTAATGTGCGTGTCTTTAATTAAAAGATTTGGAACTTAATCGTAGTTACCATGCAGTGTTTACTAAAAAACAAAGCTGATAAAGGTATGGAATGCCTTACAATGCTGTTAAATAGATAGACAAAAACACTAAGATGTCTGTCACACCATGTAACTTCTAGAAAATCAATAAATTGGAGGGTCAATTAAAAGCATAAAGCAGAAACTCAAGCGAAGCCAAGTGGAGACTAAAGTATCAGCTGAACAATACTGTAACAATTCACTTTGGACACAAGAACAGAAACATTCTTTCAAAAATCAACTCATATGATTTGTCACTTGGCTTCCACAGCTTTTTTTTTTCTGGAAAAAGGGATATTCCTAGACTTCTGTTCTGAAGGGCATGAAAACATGATGAAGATACATTTAGACTCCCTCTCATGACATTTTAATTGATTAACAGATATGCATATAGGTAGAATCACTCAAAGAAATTAAGTTTTTTCTTGTTCTCTCAAGTAAGCTATTTGACACTGTATTGACGTTTAAGCTATTGTTTAAATGAAAACTGGAACTACAAATAGCTAATTTTTTAACGTGCGCATACCTTTCAAGAGTGGTGTATCAGTATCTTCTCAGTGGAGAAAACTAAAAACCGCAGTTCCTTCTGGCGCAGTCAAATTTACTTTTCAAATGGACTGCTGCAGCAATAATGTCTCTCATATGAAGATAATAAAGTCTTTTACTCAGCAAGTAAGAAAACTGTTTATTAGTCATGAGAAAAGAAGTTGTGGTGTTTTTCATGACCTGAAAAGCAGTTCCATTTTCTGGGTGGTATTCCAAGAAGCTTCCTCGCAGACCTTACAACATCTGTTCTAATGGGCTGATAAAGAGTAATGTTCAGGAGGAATTTTTTTTTTCATTTTCTGAAATAATTTCCATTAAAGATTCAAAATCAGCATATTCTCTCAGAGTTTGTATCATTTCATCTAGCATTTCTTCTCCTAGCATGAAAGATTCAACATGATGCACTGATCTGCTTATTCTGTGGTCCGTAATCCGGTCCTGTGGAAAGTTGTATGTTCTGATCTTCTCTGATCTTCCTTTAGTCCCAATCTATTGAACAAAAAGAATGAGTTTATCCATCTTTTTATAAAAATTATGAAATATTGATTAAGCATCTAAAGTGAAAGGTTTCTTTTCCTCTCATGATTATCCAAAATTTGTTATAGTTACATATGACTCAGATCACTTCAGTGGCTGCAGTAATTGTTCTCAAACATATAAAAGAACAATTTTAATCCATCTTTTTCTAATACTGTTCTGGTTCTTCATGCTGCAATCAAACATGCAGTTTGTTTCACTGGATCTCTAGAATTTATGTACCAGTGAAATTTTAAGTCTGGTTAATATACAACCTCTACTGCTGAAGTAAAATGTAATTTTGTTGTCCAGAGAAGCTGTGGACTCCACAACTTCTTGTTTTTCAGGGAAGTCTAGTGGAAGGTGTTCCTGTCCATCGCAGAGGGGCTGGAGCTAGATGACCTTTAAAATCCCTTCCAACCCAAACCATTCTATGATTTTTTTTTTTTCCTCATGTAAGTCCCTCCTGGGCTCCGGTTCCCCTATATTTCCATTTACTATTTGCAGTTTAACACAGAAGTTACCCTAAGAACACATGCTTGTACAGAATGATATTGTTACTAAACAAAACTTACCTGAATCTTTCGAACACTGTTTCTCTTTTTAGTTTCTTCTTCTAGTTTGGCATTGTATAGTTTAGCACATAGCATTTGCATAGCTTTCTCTTTGTTTCTAATTTGAGATCTTTCTTGCTGACATTCAGACACGATCCCTGTCAAAAATATCATGACATTTAGCACTTAAGAGTAACACATACTAAAATAGTTTTGCAGTTTCTAGAAGACTTCTATTATGTTACATTAAACTGTTTCTTTCTTCCATATTTATTTTGGACTGGGAATGTAGAAGTCCAGACTTACTAATGACTAATAATACATTTTGGGAAAGAAGTGCAGGCTGAGTCGTACAGGTGTTTTAAGCCATATGACAAGAAATTTAATTCCACATGTTGGACAACAAGTGGATAATGAAATAAAAGATACGTAATGTGATCTGACTTACAGAAGACACCTTGAATACTTGTAATTTTTGGCCACAGTTCCAGGAAATGTAAGATTTAAGGAGCAGTAAAATACATGAGATAACGAGTGTATCGAATATGATCAGAATATGAAAAAGTGGGTACTATTTTATGAACAACAACAACAAAAAGTGTGTTTTCTCATCCCAAAACATATAATTCAAGACAAGAAATGAACAGCCCAAGAAAGGAGTAGAGAGAAGAAATACAGGAAGAAAACAGCACAAGCTAAATTGTTATTTGGATCTATTTTAAGTAACTCTGGTAATACTAAAGTACGTTTTATAAGACTATATAGTATTACTTTATGAAAGACTTATTTATAAACAACCTGCTGGATTGCAGTGAAGATTTAAACAATATTTAGGATGAGAGAAATAGAAGTAACAGGACAATTGTAAGGGAAGTGAGATCAGAGAAATGAAGAAGAGAATGGTGGAGCAGGAAAAAGTGAAGAGATAAGGTGATATATAAATCCTCCTATTAGCCATATATAACCATGAAAATATTTGCAATACACCTTAACATTTCTATAACATACCCTAATATCTACATTCAGCAAAAACTAAGATCAACTGCTGGTTTTAGTTTGTTGTGTTTTTATCCAAACACGCAGGCAATCCAAAACCTTTTCAATCTGGAGTATCTTTTGTCACGACATAGTGATATATAGAATTTTATCCTCTCTACTGTTTATCTTCTACTTTATTAAGGTGATGCAACAAGTGCAGAATGGATCAATGTCTTAAACAAATACAAAGAGATCAGTGGCAAAAATCTGGATACGTGAAGATAAAGAGCACTTGGGATTACCCTGAGGCTGTAAAGCCTGAGTAATGTTTGTACTAGAGAAGAGGAAAAGTTAAAATGCCATGAAAGTCAAGGCAGCTGTTGAAGATTGCTCAAAGGGAAGTAAAAGGGTTAGGAACGGCAATAAAAAAAATATATGATAGCTAAAATCAGGTAGCATTTGAGGGTGCACCATATCCCTCCTATGTTTCCTAACCTGAGTCAGAGGGATGGGCCTCCTAATTATCTGTGTCATCTATAGGAAAGGAGCCAGCAGACAAATGGAAGCTGGCATCCTGAATAGACTCTGCAATTAAAAGCAACATTTTAATATGGAAACAGAGCAATCTCTCTTTTGGAGACTAGTCAAGAAATGGCAAATCATCAGATTTCAGCCTACTCCATTTTCCAGTATCATTTTCATTATTTGAAAGCTTAAATATAACTTTTTGACAGAAATTGATCTGGGTGCTTGTAGAGTGTCATGTTTAGTGGCAAATGGATAGCTTACCTACTGAAGCCAGTAGTCCTTACTATTAAAAATTGGAGTGGGCACAGGATGATGCATTTAGAGTACTATGAACAGACATGAAAACTATATGAAAACTCTACTCTGCTGTTGTCCAGGTTTGAAAATACACCTATAGTTTCAAAAGAAATTCTGACAACAGTTTGGCAATGTAGATCTTGTAGTAAGGAAAAAATGAAGCACCTGTTGGAATATGAACTATCCTTACAGCACTATCTGTGGTATTGACATGCTGGCCTCCAGCTCCACTAGCTCGCTTTGTTTCTATCCGTAGATCTTTTGGATTAATTTGCAGCCTCATCTGTCATGAGATAACAAAAAAAAGAAAAACAAACAAAGAACGTATTTATATTGTTTCTTTCCATACAGGTATCAAATATGCACAGTCAGTTTATTTTATAAGGCACATTCATGCAAGATCAAACTTTTTAAAGATTATGAATGGTAGCTCACATCTACATGTAAACATATTAACAAATCTTCGTAGTCGGACTGGACTTCCAACACAATGGAACCCAGGAAATCAGACAAATAGTAGCTTAACACATAACTGTCCCTTAGCACTCATCTTCCCCTCTTCTGAAAGCCCTGCACCCTCTTCTTCCAGCAGAGTTAACCAATACTTGAACTTGATACCAGATGGTTTTTAGTTAAAATGGAAGATATTCCCTTTTCTGGTTCTGGAATGGAGCAGTAGGCTCTGTGAGAAAGGAGTGAGATAACTTCAAGAGAGTACAGGAAGGAGTAACATCTTTGACAATCTGCTAGTTCAACATGAAACAAAGATCAAAACAAAGCATTATTTCTTAGCCAGTTGCTTTTAACCAAGCAAATATAGTGAGACTTGACGTATACACTCTGGAAGGGGCAAGTGAGGACAGTACAAAAATGGAAAAGAGGAAGTGCTAAAAGAAGTATCTATGAGCCCCATAAAATAAGTCAGTCAGGTTACTTTGTAGAAAATGTAGTTTTCCACAAAACATGCAAGACAGAGTAACAGTGAATTTTCGAGTTATAGTTAAGTGAACTGTCAGTGACCTTCTTGAGATCAGGATTACAAGGAAAGACGGAAATTCTTTATTTCACACCTATTATAAAAAATAAAAATAAACAAATAAATATGACTTAGTTTAAAATTAAGAAGAAAAAAAAGTCATTAAGTGAGAATAAAAAGAGAGACAAAACCACTCGGGTATCAAACATTGCTTGTGGTAAAGTCTGTTATACTAAAATATAAATATTACCTTAGTGGGTTGGGGTAATATTGCAACAGTCATTGTGCTGGTATGAATGCGTCCTTGTTTTTCTGTCTTTGGTACCCGCTGAACACGATGCACTCCTCCTTCAAATTTCATGTATTTGTAAGCCTCGAGACCTGCTATACTGGCTACTGCATGTCTTAGGCCACCTTAAATACAGAAGAAACACAACTGTAGACCCATAAGAATTGCTGGTACTATGCTGTTATACTTCAGTGTCTTTAGACATCATTGTCATTTGTTTCTTAAAATTATGAATTTACCATTTAAACACTTAGGCAGTATTACACCTGCAAGAGAAATCTTAAAGCCACACATGCATACTCACACACTATTGCCAAGTGAAGGACTGTCAGATTCTTTTTATAGAGTCCAATTTAATTATTTTATATACATAAAAAGAGTGCCTAAGATCAATGTACAAACATGTATACATACAATCATAAACCACAATAGAACTCTAATACCAGTAGCAAGTTTACATAAAGATCAAATTTTGAAAGTTGCTTTCAGAAACATCAATTTTTTTATTGTTAGTTCAGAATCTATCATTCAATGGGAAAAAAAGAACCAGCCCCTTATGACTGAATGATGAGTATTATTCATACTCTTCTCATTATCCATTCTCCTCTATGCATCCTACCCATGTGTCTTCACTTTTTTATTTCATTTTAATCTTTTGCTTCCTTGGAATGAGCAGAACACCAATTCCTGCACCTCTTACCAATACCTCTAGTAAAACTTGACATCAATGTCCTACAAGCACCGAACAGCTTGGAACTTGGAAGTAAAGCCTAATGCAATCATGGTTTCATGACAGAAAGAGTTTAATGCTCCACTAGTTTATGATATTCTTGCTCTTGCTTGTTTGCTTATGTGCAGTATAACTGCAGGATCAGAGAAGCACTATAAATGGCACAGAGATGGCACTATAAATGGCACAGAGAAGTGATGGCACTACACTTTTTCACTCATTTTGGTTTCTAATGCAGCTCGATTCCCAAATCCTATTCTCAGCACAGTGGATGGTGTGCCAAGGGAATGACTGAAGAAGAGATAGGTGGCCTTGAAAGAATATTGCTGTTTAAGTCTTGCAACGTGAAACCACAGCTGAGAAGTGGCACATACTTTGCAGAAATACAGTTTTAGGCCATCTCTCAGAGTGAGGAACTCAATCACAGGGACAAGATAGAAGCTTTTTAAAAAAGGAAAATAAAGACAACACAGAATCTGAAAACGCCCTGCAGAACAGCAAAAGGTCAGCAGCCAGAACACAGGCCAGTTCTTTCATCTCCATGGACAAGGTTTGCAAATGTTTTTACTCTAGAGAAATTTAACATTTCCTCTCAACTTTACTAAAATAAATTTCCTTTTACAGACATGTTTGTTGAAAATAACCTAAACTGCCTCTTCCTTTCTATTCCATGTAATTTTTGTCCTTCTGACTTTTAAAATTTTTCTCCTACTTGTATAAAACTGTACCACTTTGATTCAAATACACTGTTCAACATACCTAGTGCTTCAGTGATGTAATTTATAGCCATTATCTACTATCAATTCTGTAAGATGAGTCTGTCATATTTAGAATAAATCTGATAATAGAGCATGTATTTAACTGATGACAGAGCATGTAGTTTAACAAATATGATCTTTCAAAATCTTTAGTTTAGATCAGGAAGTTTAATTTCATCAAGTAGTGTGAAATCTTCCTACTTCAAACACTATTTGAATAAATGAAAGATCTCTTCTTTACTGTAAGAGAATCTTATGTAACCTAAAATAATGAATATAGTTAAGTAATAAATCTTATTTACTTACTTACTGTCTGTGACATGTTCAGGAGAGTTTTAGTTTGTAGTAGTAACAGTGTGCCTGTGGCACTGTAGTGCTTAGCATAAGATGACCAAGAAACTGGTTCAAATGACAGGTATTTAGGTCATACTGCTTTGAATCAACCATTACCAACATGGGGTTAATACGAAATGCAGCCTAATCTAATAAAATTTCAACAAACCCTTTACCCTGGCAGACATGTTGTAGGCCTGTCAAATATAGTTAGGTCTTGCTAACTGTGTGCTTGCCCCTTTCACATTAAATGTCCCACTCTATCCTGAAATCTGATCTGCACAGAACAAGGGTGTTTGTACTCATTTTTTAATGGGGCATCTTATACCCAGATTGAGACAAAGTCCCACATCTGTGTCTCCGCCTGCCACTACAGAGTGAGAGGCACTGGATAAATAATGATGTGGGTTTGTTCTTTAATGTGTGCACTAAATTTTCAATGTGCTATTTTTGCACAGTGGCATCCCTTGGAGTACGTCAATAAAGTAACTTAAGAGTAGACTGAAACCAATTTTTAACTGCAGCTTTATTTAGCATTCACCTCATTCACACATGCTCACATTCAGATTTCAGTCAAATTCAGGAGCTCTCAGAAATGAGGGAATTTGACATTTTAAGTGTAGGACCTTGCTCTTGCTAATGCAATTGATAAAAATGGAGCGAGGACAGGGTGCAACAGCCTAGTGCCACCAGCATCCTTAGCTCCACTCAGCACAGTGTAGACAATTTGAAACTGAGGGTTCAAACTTGCCTTTCATTGGCAGCGCCATGCATAGTGCCTCTACTTCCCAATTTCTTTCTAGCATCTGTTTTGATAATATATGGTCATGCAAGACCAAAAAATACACAAGAGGCTGACAAAAGCTAGGGCTGTCTTTATTTTTCCCAAAATTTACATCCTACTTTCCTAGACATTAATTTCAGTGCACAGGTAAGCTCTCAGCAAAATAGTAGATTTTGAAATAAATATATAGCCATTAAAAACCTAGCCCTTTAAAAGAGAAAATACAGGTAGATATATACTAGGTTAATATATCACTTCAATTTCCTATTTAAGGCATTAATGAGAATGCTTATGAGGTTATGGGCTCTTTGTCCAAGGACTTTCATCAAAAGGGTAGCCAAACCCAACTCCCTTTCTCTTCCAACCACAGAACTCTGCAAGCTGAGTCCTGACTTAAAAACTATCCCATAACAGGGCTTTTAAGTCGAATCAGTGAACTGATCCAATTAGCACTGGGGCCTCAAAATTGCTAGAGCTGAGAGAGAAGAAACATACAGCTGGCTAGAAGGTGAGACAGCCCTTGCTTAAGCTGACTGTGAAACTGTGCTCTGAAGGTGAAGCCTATGTGACTGCTGGGCTTTACCTGATCCAAGTCTTGCCTCAGTGAAAAGGGCAACACTCCTCTCTCCTTTATACATGATAAAAAGAAAACCCAGACCTTTCCCTCTTTCTGTTTACACCCATCTCAGCTGTACAATGTTTATTCCATTTACTTTCAAAAAAGAAAGTAAACATATTCCTGTTGACTTTGAAGGCTGAACTGGCTCAGCTCCTGGCAAAGCATTTGGCTGGTCATAAATGGGGATGAATATGACTTTGCTCTTTCAGCAACAAGATGTACTGTAATATGAAGCTTCTTGTCCCTACCTCCACTTGCACTGAGTAAACAGTTTACTTGGCAAATGACTTCCTGACAATACAAAAAGTTTATTAATAGTAACAAAGATAGATAATAGACAATACTGAATTCAAGTGTATTATTTGTGTGAAAAAAGTGTATTATTTGAATTGTCAGCAGTCACTCTAAAAGGGGATGCTGATACTGTGAAAACCTGAGTTCATGTTCATCAACTTGAAATAAGATACCTCCTAAGAACTCTAAAGAAAGTTATTTGGACATTTTACAGACATAACATTTTTTAAAATCAATTCAAATAAAGATTTTAAGAAACCAGAAGTGTAAGTAAAATCCACAGTATACAGACATAGGTATAGACAAGGGATTCCCTTTTTATGAAATGTGAATACAGACAACAAATCAATCCTAAACCTAGATTTTCAAGTTGTCAGCTTGTGACATCCAACTGCATTTCTTCCATGGAGCCCAATTTTTGATCCTTCTTTAGGGTACAGAAGGACCTTCATTAGAAGGGGAAAGTAGCTCACTGATATCAGAAGCTCAACTGGGAGACTTGTGAATATTTATTTGCTGTGAATTTCTACACTGTTGAAACAGAAAGGTTCAAGATACTTGAAAATATCACTGAGTCCAAAATATGGTGTAAGTAAACAGAAGTGTTAAAGGATGCTTCACATTTCTCAAAGCTTGCTAAAAACCTCTCTGCAATTATATTAAGTGTTGACTGAAAAAATATCAGACTTTTTCTGACAGACTGCATATCCTAACATCCTAGCTTTTCTCATTTCTCAAAGTTTCACAAAAAAAAAAATTGATGAAAGTATGACTAGAGGTGAAGTTTCTTGAGCCAGGAGCAGTAAGCTGCATAAGTGCCCATCTACTGATCCACACCCACTAGGACACATGCATTACCTCCACAGCAATACCCAAATAAGCAAATTTGATAGCTTTAATAATGACACCATGGATAACTAAGGCTGTAGATCTGTTAACACAGACAGACTCAACAAATCTATCCTACTGAGAAATGTGGCTAGCAATCTGTTAATCAAAACCCAAAAGCCCTGCCATGGCTGGCCATGTTTTGGATTGCAGTTTCATGGTGGGCTTAAGCTTGCTGAACCTCTTGCTGCTAAAAGAGGGTCCTGTTTTCTCACTGCCACCACCAGGAGCCACACCCTTTGCCTCCAGCACCTCTGTGAACATTTCTCCTCTTCTCTTGTGCCAATTATCTGAAAACTAATTGATTTTTTTGTGTGTGTGCAATTTTTCAGGTGGACTGACTTGGTGATGAGACTCTACAAAGATGCACAATCACAAGTGTCAATGCAAAGCAGTCAGCAATAATGCAGAGATAGCAAGATGATCTTTGTGAAACAACTTTACACACTATTTGGATTAAGCTAAAATTAACTATTGTGCCACTGCCTCAGTTTGTTGTGTAAAACTACCAATCCCCATCTCTTCAAAGGCATTGCTCCTAAACCAAATTCACAGCTCATCAGCACCAGAAGATCCAGTTTTTCCACCTCCTTGCATTCAGTCCCAATGTTGCTGCTTATCCTAAGTTAGCTCCCAGGCTCATGAGAACTGGCTTAACACATTGACAAGGCAAAAAAACACACCCAGTCATAGAAAGAAAAGTCTTTGCCAGTTTAAGTGAAAGGACATCAAAACAGACAGAAAAAAAATAGGTGGGACTGCTCAAACAGGCAGAGATGCAATAAGGAAAAAGGTAGAAAGGGGGAACATCTTTTACTGGCATCAAGCTGTAAGCTGATTACCTGTGACATTTTAGTTGAAGACTTTAAAAAATAATTAGATCTCTTATCTCTCCTCTCAAAGCCTCAACAATTCTCCCACTTTGCTCATCCATTAGCTGTATTTAACATCAGATCATATTTCAAATAAATTCATGATGTTCTAGACGAAACTTTAAAAATTGTTTTAATAAAACTGATTCCTCTTTGCCAATCCATAATAATAAACAGACTTTCAAACTGCCACCAAACTGACCCATAAGCACTAAAACATTAACTAAGTAGAAGAGTGTATCCAAATAAAAAGTATATACAATCTGTATTTCTAAAAAATAAAAAAAATAAAGCTAAAACAACATCATCACTTTCTGATTTTCCTTCTGCCAAGAACCTGTCTTTCAGTATTCTCAAAATGTAGAAATGAAACTACTAAAAGACAAGTTTTCTTTTTGGCACTTTAGTATTTTAACAGTACTTCTGAAATGGAATTTCATTCTCAAATACAGAAGCTGAGGAAAATTGTACTCAGACATTCAAACAATCTTCCACTTCTAAAATTAAGATAGTGCAAATTAGCTTCCTGTAGTTAGGAAATTAAAATGTCATATGAATGACTGTTTCAACTTCTATTAGGAAGTTACAGTATTTTCATTACTGACCTATTTCACTGGGAAAGTATTCTAATACTTCAAATTTCCATTTTTTATAGGCAGCATATCGTTGATACATATCAAATATCTCCGAAGTGAACAGCATGGCTTCCTGCCCTCCAACTCCAGCAGTTACTTCCATGATCAGATCACTTTCATCTGTTTCTTCTGAAGGAATCAAAAGCAACACTATCTGAAAATACAAAAACACCCAGCTAAGACTCCTCTCTGACACTATCCACAACTGAGACAGTACAAAACACCAAGACAAGTCTGTAACTGACCTAGGCTGTGTTCTCTGTACCTTCCCCTGAGTTGCCCTGAGGATGGGCTTCTCATGCCTCCTGTAGTGAGGAAGCAGCAGCCAGCAAGAGGTGAGTGGGGCTGATGCTGCATTGCAGGAAGGCTCCCCGTGTCTGTTCAGTTACAGGAGCTACACTGGCCTCTCTCAAGACCCACAAAACTTCACAGAAGTTTCCACCCATTAGGAAAACTTCGAGGACATTTGGACACTGCAGGATTCACGCCACTTCTTGCAAGACAACTGAACATCTCCCCTCCCATCAGACTTCCTTTTAATGCCATCTCAACTGCAGAGCTAAGAAGGTATGGATGTTCAGAAGATAGTTCTTCAACAACAACTCAAATGTATTATTCATTTATTTATTTAAAAAGGAAGAGCCTGATCTGCAGCAGAAAGATACAACAGAAGTTAAAAAACTGTATCACAATTTTGCATGCTGGATCAAAACTCTGGCTGATTTGCAAACTCCTTTCAATCATCTTCCTGCACTAGCAATAGGTGATGTTTCTTTCTACAGATAATTATTTCTTTTGGCAAAATCATAATTATTTACAAAAATATTTATAAAGTGATTGTTGTATTGCTGTCAGAGGAATAAAGAATGTGACCACACCAGCTTCAACTTCACCAGTAACATTAAGTTAAATAGAATTTTATTGTAAAGATCATGATCTTTTTTTTCAAATAACACAGATACTCTGTAAAACCTACATAAGGTAGCAACTAAAGTAGTTACATAGTATTAAAATATTTTTTTCCAAAACCACTAGTATGCCTGATACTATGTAAGTTTTGTTTCCAAGGGATAAAGAGTTGGACATCTATAACAGTATATGGAGATAAGACAAACTGTAGCACCAGCTTAAAAAGATACATTGATTAAAACATTTTCAGGTACAAATAGGCACTCGCTTACAGCCTGTCTCTGTAGCATCTCCTTTTTTCATTTTCATTAGATAACAGACACTACTTGAGTATAAATAGCAAGGTGGGGAGGAAAAGAGTTTATCATATACATACTGATGAGAATCATAGAACGGTTTGGGTTGGAAGAGACCTTAAATATCACCTAGTTCCAATGCTCCTAAGAAGACAATTTGGCCTTGTTAATTTAAGAATGACAAGGAAACAAGAGGCTTTATAAGGGGATCTCACCTGTTGCTTCAGTTCAGCTATCTCTTCTTCACAGGAGGCAATTTCCATTTCTGCAAGCTTCCGTAAATCTTCACTCTCATCTGGAATATTTGAGTATGGTTAATCCTCAGACTTATATCAGTGCCAGTTTGAGAAAACCTTCTGAAAAATAACCACATGAAGAACTTACTCTACAAAAAAAACCCCAAACCCAAAACCAACCTACCACAAAACTTGCCCCTCTCCCCCAACACACTAAACCTGCCAGAAAATCAAAGTAATACTATGATCTGTAATGAAGGTACACAGTAGATATTAAGTGTGTTCTAATCCTGTGCAGGTATAAGACAAGGGAAAAATCTGAAACTCTAAAAAACAAAACGAAGAAAATCCAACTTAACCAAAAAAACAAAAGGAAAATTGCTGTGCCAGTGGTCAAACAGTGGCATAGATTGCCCAGATTGGTTCTAAGTTTCCATCCTTGAAGATACTCAAATCCCAACTAGGTGAAACCCTGAGCAACTTGCTGTGGGTGATCCTGCTGAGCAGAAGGGTAGGCTGGGTGATCTCCAAAGGTCCCTTCTCACCTCAGCCATTCTGTAACTCTAAGAAATTACTTTCTGTTTTTCAGTATGACAGGAACTTTAAGGATTTAAAGAGCACAGCAGCCCCACAATTGGCACTCTTTGTTAAAAGAATTATTGTCCCTATAATTGTATGCAAAAATCTGACAACTGCAGTAGTAATTTCAAGTATTTTATATCTCTCAATTTATTCCAGAACAGCCGCAAAACTTCTAAAACACCTCTAAAACCAAAGTTATGGGAGAACTCTTGCATAATAAGAGGAACTTGTAATTTTGAAGCGTCACTTGATTGGTCAACACTAATGCTTTTCAATTAAGGCTTCTTTTTCTGTACTACAGTTTCAATATGTTAAAGTGTGTCTTTTTTTTTTTTTGTCAATATCAAACTTCAAACAAAGGGGTGAAAAAATAATAATAATAAAAAAAAATCAACATTTTAAGCAGCCTCTGATTGCCCAAAAAGGGAGAAAACGGTACATACAATGAAAAATGGGGAGCTGGGGCTAGACTTTTTTCTGTGTACAGCAAACTTTTAAATGTGCTCAGGAGCAGTCTTGCACTAGAGCCACACCTTTTCAGCACTGTGACTGCAAACAGTCACTAGCTCAACTATAAATGAAACTTTTTGTTACTTCATATTTTAGGTTTAATATTGGTGAATTAACTCCTCCATCACTTCTGTAAGAAGGAAATTAAAAAGATAATAATGCATAAACTGGTTTAAACAACAAGCATGCTTTATCTACAGCTGGCTAAGAGAATGTATCTGACTAAGTGTCACTCTTTGAACATGGAAACTTGATTATCTCCATCTACATTTCTTTACTATAACTACTGACTGATCTAGGGCTAGTCATTAAGGCCAACAGAAGGAAGGATAAGAATTAAGGAATTAATCTGTTAAACATCAAACCAGTTGTTGGTAACACAATTAAGAAATAATCTACCAATTAATAGTACTTGCATACTTTAAGATGCAGATGTAATACAGGCTTTAAAATCATTTTAAAATAATATAAACAAATATTTGCAATTACTAACTGCAGAAGCGCTCAAAATTACTGACTAAGCCTTTGTGATCTCTTCACTTTGCTGAAATTCTAAGCCTGGCTTTGATAACACTAGCTTTTTCAGCAGGTTCTGAGAGGAGAAAAAAAATCTTCCATTCCATTTCATTAAGTTAGTTTGGGTCAATTATTAGTTCGTTCAAAGGAAACATTTCTCTTTTTTCAAACTGAGGTGTAAGAGAATGAATAGTAAAAATACCAAAAAAGAGCTATTGTTTTTGGACAGTGTTTGCCACCTTCATTAGTCAGAACAGCCACCTACAGTTAGCACTTTTGATTAACCAGTATTTAGTAGCAAGTATTAAATGATCTAGGGAATATTTCACAATCTAATGAATGTTTAGTGACCTTAAAAGTACTCCTTTTCTGCATTTTTGTTTTCTAACTGTTATCAAAAGGAAGTTTGATTTTGGGTAAAAAAATATTATTTGGCAGCACTAAAAGTGCACAGTTATTGACACAATACAAAGTCAAATCACGTGTGGAGACAGCACAAACAGATGCTGATGTCTACGACTGTAAATGGAGATAGGAAGGCAGGCTGGGCTGTCTCGGCAGCAAAAGAAAAATGGATTTAAAAAACCTTCAGAAGTTTTCTATCCCCGATTAATTATCTTTATTTTAGTTGGCCAGAGCACGGTGCTAGTAACACCAAGGTTGTGGGTTTGATCCCTGTACTGAACATTCACTTAAGAGCTGGACTCGGTGATCCTCGTGGGTCCCTTCCAACTCAGAACATTCTGTGATTCTATGAGAGACAGGTGTCACCACGCTGCTCCCCCTTCCAGTATCAGCAGCTCCTACGCCGGTGGATGTGCTTTCCCCAGTCGCCCATACCCTCGATCTCTGCTCAGGTGGTTTCACTACTTCCGGAAGGCCCGAGGAGACCGCCCCGGACCCCCAGTGACAGGCGTGTCACACCCTCTCTCTCTTCCCCCCCCCCCAGGTGACACGTGTGGCGCGTTCCCCCGCGCGCGCAGCCCCCCGCCGCGCCAGTGCGCGGCGCCGCTGCTCGGGGCCGCTCCGCCAATGGCGCCCGCACACGCAAAACGTCCCCGCGGCCCGCACCTTGCCGCCGCCAGCTCGCGCGTGTCGCGCAGCTCGCGCTCCTTGTCGCGCAGCCGCCGCACCCTCGCCGCCAGCTGCGGCGCCGCCCCGCCCCGCGCCCTGCGCCCGCGCCTCCAGCAGCCGGCGCAAGGACGGGGCGGCGAACAGCTCGTCAGGCCGGGCCGGGCGCTCAGCCTGCGGCACGGCTGGGGCGGACATCTCCCCGCTGCGCTGCTCCCCGGCCGCGCGCTGCCCCGGAGGCTCCGAGGGGGCAGCGCGGAGGCCCGGCAGCCCTGCGCCGCGCGGAGAGCTCGCGAGAGCAGCCGCATGTCCGGCTGAGGTGGGACCACGAGCACCCCCCTTCACCGGGGCGTCACTGCCGTGCCGGAGACACCCGAACGCGCTCGGCCGCCTCCCTTCCGGGTTTCCGGAAGCTGCCGAAGGAGCTCGGCTCTGGTTTCGGGCGTGGTCGGGGAATTATCGGGACTGCGCTGGCGGAAACGGACGAAGGCGTTCGGCTCCCTGCGGCGCGCGGGGCTCCGCCCTGGGCTGAGAGCGTCCTGATTGGCCAACGCTACCAGGGCGGGGCCAGGGCGGTCCTGAGCGCCCCCTGCGGGCCGCGGAGGGGAGGCCGGGGTGGGTTTTTGGTCGCTGGCAAAAGCGGCGCTCCGGGGCGAGAGCCGCGGGGGTGTCGAGCGTTTTTTACTGCGGCGCTTTAGTGCAACCTGCAAGGCCGCATAGGTGAAAGGGGGAAGTTGGAGCTGCGACTTTAGATATCCGGGTTACTCTTACAGACCTTCTCCTATCCCTTCAGGAGAAGTTTTCAGAATTAAAGTACCCTGAGAAGGAACATGCAAATACTTGTGGAAGGATGCCTCCACGGTGAAAGCAGGTGCAAAATTAAGCACTTAGAGGAATTTTTAGAGGAAGAAAAAAAGGCACTTCCAAGTGCCTTTGCATCAGAAATTAGTGATGAGACTAAAAGACAACCTGTTCACAAAATAGAGATCTGGGCACAGTCTCTTACGTCAAAGTTTTAAATGGGAAGGCAGTGAGGATGCAGTCATTTAGTAACTCTGATGTAATGGATGCTGTGGGATGATCTGGACAAATTCCTTCTGATATGCAGATTGAGTGGCATAGTAACCTTGTTTCAGATAACATCATTAATGAGATTCTTGGCTGAACTCGAAACAGTTTGGAGAATATACTTTATTATAAAAATGTGCAACTATCCATAGAACTTTATTAAGCAGTATTTTATATTACAATCATTAGAGGAGTCAGAGTTGTGTCCTTGCCTTTCTTATGTCCTTGTTCATGTCTTAATAGAACTAGGTAATCATACCTTACAACTAAATTACACTGATGGAATAACTGTAACTTCCATATGATACATAGTAAATTGTTATTCTCATGAATGTAATATCAAAAGCAAGAGTAATGCTTGCACACTTAAGTAGTTTTGGTAGTCAGACATGAAAACTTGAAAGTTTTTGTTCCATGATGGAAATCCAAGGGCAGTACAGCCAACATGAGAATTTGTTATTCAGAATATTAAACATTTAAATGAATGGTTGGATAAAAATATTTTCCTATGATTGTAAATGCACCATTTTGGACAAGGTTTATTGGCAAAATACACTGTAACAATAGTTTATGAGTAAAAATCACAGTCGAAGACCTTTGTGGAGAATGCAGTCTGTGTGACTAGGCTGGTGCTGATTAACAGCATTGCTTATGAAATCTCACCAACTGAAAGATTCCCTTGCACCCACTGCTGCCCGACCATGAAGCTCCTTGAAGCCTTTTTACAAAAGGGTAAAGGAAAAATGACCAAATTTGTGCATTTAATAAATATTTTAGTGTTCTGCGATAGTGAATCATAGAATAGAATCATAGAATCAACCACGTTGGAAAAGACCTCTGAGATCTTCAAGTCCAACCCTCGATCCAACACCACTGTGGTTACTAGACCATGGCACTAAGCGCCAAATCCAGTCTCATCTTAAAAACCTCCAGGGACAGCAAATCCACCACCTCCCTGGGCAGTCCATTCCAAGGTCAGATTAGTCTCTCTGTAAAACATTTCTTCCTGATATCCAACCTAAGCCTCCCCTGGCATAGTTTAACACCATGCCCTCTTGTCCTACTGCTGGTTGCCTGGGAGAAAAGACTGATGCCCACCTGGCTACAACCTCCTTTCAGGTAGTTGTAAAGAGTGATGAGGTCTCCCCTGAGCCTCCTCTTCTCCAGGCTGAACAACCCCAACTCCCTCAGCCTCTCCTTACAGGACTTGTGCTCGAGTCCCTTCACCAGCCTTGTTGCCCTTCTCTGGACCTGCTCCAGCACCTCAATATCCTTCCTGAACTGAGGGGCCCAGAACTGGACACAGTACTCCAGGTGAGGCCTCACCAGTGCTGAGTACAGGGGAAGAATCACTTCCCTGGACCTGTTGGCCACACTGTTCCTGATACAGGCCAGGATGCCATTGGCCTTCTTGTTCACCTGGACACATTGCTGAGGCATGTTCAGCTTCCTGTCAATCCAAACTCCCAGGTCCCTTTCTGCCTGGCTGCTCTCCAGCCACTCTGTCCCCAGCCTGTAGCGCTGCAGGGGGTTGTTGTGGCCAAAGTGCAGGACCTGGCACTTGGCCTTTTTGAACCTCATCCCATTGGAATCAGACCATCTCTCCAGCTTGTCCAGGTCTCTCTGAAGAGCTGTTCCGCCTTCCAAGCAGATCAACACTCCCCCCAGATGACAGTTTTACTATTGTGTGAACCCTGCTTGTGAAGAGAAGTATGGAAAACTCAGGAAATTTAGAGTAAGGGGGGATTTAATGTAAAGCTTTTGAAAAGAAAAAAAAGTCAATCACTGATGGTCAGCCTTTGAACTGTACTCTGTTTTAAACTGGAAGGATGGATTTCCACAGTGTGAGTTCACGGACAAAGGAAGGGGCAAAATCTGGGTTTTGGTGTAATGTTAAATAATATGCAGACAATGTTTCTGTTAGGTTTTTGTCAGATGATTTTGGCACCATTATTGTTTTGTTCTTTCATCCCACAAACATCACTTCTACTGATGGTAGAAGTATTCAGGACATACATGAACAGGGCTGATGTTCTGTCATTGCAAATGTACTCAGGGTATTGGTGAGCAGGACTGCACCTTTGTCACTGCATCCAAGTCTCCGAATGTGCTACCATGCTACCCTTCTCAAAAAACAACAGCATTATGGGCCGAGAACAAAACCTATTTTGAAGTTGGTAGTTAGACAAGGGTCAAGTTAACTTGGAGCAGACGTTGCAGCTGCCAACGTGCAACCTTAATTTTTTGCTTTGTTGGATTTGATAAGGACTGTTAAGGCTCTGTTGGCCGGGTTAATGATGCCAGGAGCAGGCTCACAGACATTGTGGAGGTGGGAGGTTTGCTCCTGGTGGTATAGGAAGTTGCTAAAGTTAGAGATTTTCTTGTATCAGCTTTGATTGCTTTTGAATTGGTATTGTGGAATGCTTATATTAAATGGCTTTCACAAGCACTTACTGCATATAGAAGATGCAGGTTCCTGAGCAGGCTCAGGCCGCGATCAGTCAAGCAAGCTGCACTTATTGAAAAAGCTCCCCACCTATTTTTAGATACTGGTTCCACAGACAAATGCTCCTTTTGATCAAATTTGCTGCCTAGGAAAGCAAATTTGGCATCAGGTGACAGCTTAAACCCTGGCTGTTTAAAGTAGAGTGTAGTTGTCCTTCAGTTGCTTGGTTTAGATCACAGACACTTTAGCATGCCTTTAACTTAAAACAGAGCTATTACTAGCTTAAATCTGGTTTGTGTCCACTCTCTGTTGTCCTGTGAATGGACCATGTGGACTCCACAGGTACTCAAGTGAGTTGTGGACAGGCTGTGGACCTGGAAGCACTATGGTCACACTTCCATGCTACTGAGCAGTCTGGAACTCAGTTGGTTAACCTGTTGCCCTGCCACCTGTGTCACTGGCCTGTCTTTTCTCCATCATATCTTTAGTCTCCTTAATACCATATGTGCCTTCAGTCTAATTTGAATACTCATGATACTATCTGTGGGTTTTGCTTTATCCTGGGTATCCCAAACTACTTTCAGCTCAGTTATGTGAAAGCTCAGTTATGTAAACAACTAGGTTGAACACATGCGTAACACAATATAGATTCATTTTTTTTGAAACCTAAAGGTCAGGTGCTCTGCTTATTTGTGGCTATTTGGCATTAGGCTCTATTTGACAGAAATATTAAACACTGGGCAAAAGTGACAAAAACATAACTCACTTTCTGTAGTGCACTTGCTATATACATTCTCATGAAAAACTGAAATACAAGTTAAATACATACTTATTTTATTCCAGGCTATAGAATAAGTGTATTTAGGCAGTTTTTCAAAGTGTATTGTACACTGCATGCACAATAAATCAGTTTAATAGCTTGACTGTTTTACAATTTGTGTTCAAAGAACTGTATGATAGGCAATGAAATCATGTTACAGCATGACTTATTGTCCATTTGGACTACATCCATTTTGTTATAAAGAAATTTTGGGAAATCCAAACTGATAAATGAAATATATATTAAACATTTTAATATCAGCATTTGCTCCAAGAAAGAAACTTCACATACTATATTCAATTTTTAAATCCCTCCAAATAGAGGATTTTAGACAATAAATTTTGAACGTGATTTCATTGCAGTATTACACTGAAAATTGGTGTAATATTTTTCAAAATGATGTCACAGTTTCCAAATACAGATTTTGGAATTTTATGCTAGAAATCAAGATAATATTTCAGGGCCTGCACATCTAGCTTTAAAACTGTCTTGAAAGGATAACTTGTTCATGTTGACAAGAACTTCTACCTGTGTGAAATATCTTATAAAGATAGCTAATGACTAGCAGGTCACCATCAAATAGTAACATTGAGAATATTCAAGTCTACATTTGTAAAGACTTATGCATGCAGTTTTGTCTCTTACACATTGTTTAGATGTGTGGACTAAATGTATTGTGCCTCAAACACCAACAACTCAAAATTACACTATGTAAATATATACATATATGATGCTGTATATGTTTAGTACCACAGTAAATATAACTGTAATCAAATGATACTAGACATATGTAGGACCATAGTTAAATTCTAAGTAAGAAAAAAGTCAGAGAAATTCAGTATTTCACAGTAGAAGGAGGCAGTGCTTTCTCACTGAATTTTCCCCCCTCAGGACTTGTAAACATCATAGCTCTTATTCTATCAGTATAATAATTGAATATTTTATTCATAATGGTAAATAGCTAACCAACATGAATAAAGTTGTCAAAACACAGTAACACTTTCAGACAAAACAGGTATTTATTAAAAGAAACATTTATAAATATTTTGTCTTGCATTTTAAACTACATTTTCATAAATAACAATATTTAAAAGTGCTGAATATGGTAGGATAGTCAGCAACGCCACTGTAAACAGATTTGTTTTCCACTTTGCAGATTTTTTTTTCTAGATCCCATTTTGTCAAACACTACAACAGTTAAAATATTTGCATAGGGAATAGAGAATAGCCCTTTTAATCATCTCCTGAATTCTTTATAAATTACAAAACCAAATGAGTTTAAGAAACAGTTTGTTAAATTGTTCGTATATATATCCAAAAAAAGCACACAGGTTTCAAGTAAAAAGAATGACTAAAAAATTCCCCAAACTTGCTATTTGAAGCATGTTCAATAAATTAAGAAAATGAGAGGTAGTAAAACAAAGGGAAAAAAAGAAGCCCCAGAAGACAAACTAAGACCTGCATCCTCCCAGTTACTGTATCACTGCCTTGGCAGCAGCAGTTCCCGCCAAAGAGGGCATCAGAGGCTGCCCGAGGGGACTAACTGGGTGGTTGGAGCCAACTGTGCTTGGGCTAGATTCCACTCAAGGACACAACTGCCAGATCTGCCAGTCCAATCAAAAGCAACAGGCTTATGCCATGTTTAGTCCTACGTAAGTGAGAAGAACCTTGCCTCTTAAGTCTTAGTATAGTATTAAATATATATATGTGTATATATATATATATATATATATACACACATATGTACATATATGTATTTAGCAAGTATTCAAAGACATTTCTTGGTATATCTTTAGCAGTTTATGAGAGATGCTAATGCTCATTTTGCTTGTGTATGGTAGGTATGAGGATAGGTTTTTTGAAGTTCCAAGTCACTGTCTCTTTAAACATCAAAATGTGTCCTGAAATGGGACATTTTTTTGATAAAAAGGCCAAGCAAACACCTATTAAAAACACCATGGCAGCCAAGTGATGGGAGTACTATGCTGCCTTACCTCTGATTAAGGGCTCAGTACAGGATTCTTTACCCAGGAAAGACACCCATTGCATTTCCATAGGCATTTTGCTTGGGTAAGATCTGTAGGTTTAGGAGCCCTTGAAGTTTGGTTTAGTATTACTCTCCAAACCCCTTGTTTTCAAGGAGTTATTCAAAATCAATGAGGCTAGAAGCTAAGTCTTCTTTAACCCGCCACCTCGTAAAACATTACTTTGTTTAAAAACATTTTTTACCAGATTTAGCTTTCAAAAAAAAATCTTACAGGACAGATGCAATTCATCAAAAGGTTCTAAAATGCTCTAAAATGCTACATGTAGGCAATCTTTTATTAAATTTCTTTATTCAAAAAACTAAATTATCAAGCTCTTTGTGTTGTTTTTTTGTTTTGTTTTTTGCTGAAGTACATACATTATACAACAGTGTTAGAACTGGATAGCCAGTCTTTAATAAATCAATTACAGTATCTGACATCTGAAATGTACATTGAAAATCTTTGTTCTTTTAACAATTTAACAATATCAGCGCATAGATTTTGTCACCCAGATATGGATCCCTTTAAGTAATTTGTGCTTTTTTTTCTTTTCTTTTTTTTTTTTTTTTGACATTGCAAACTCTGTAATGAAAATGCCACAGTTTTGGCAGTGAACAACCAGAGAAATCCTCCACTTGATTTATTTTAAATAAACAGTGATAAATAGCTCTTTTTCTCTGTACAGAAATATTGGCTTCAAAAAGTCAGCGTACTGTACTCAGTAGAGGATGTTGAGTAATGCTACACCTTAAAAATTGGCTTTTTTCAGTTAGTGATGTTAAAAAATGCAAGCCTCTTTCTGGTTTGCTGCAATTGTATCTATGTACCATAGGACTGTATTGCACAAAAAAAGTCCTTAAATACAGATATAATTTATGTTATTGGATTAAATATTGCAACAACTAAGTGGTAAGTGAAGCAGTTTTACCTTGCACATGCAATGTGAGGATACACAAGGAGACTGTTCATAAAACTACAAATACATCATTGCAATCTTGACTGCAGTAGGGTGAAAGGAGTGTGAAACAAATGTATTTTGGCAAATCCATTCTTCCCCTCCCATGCCATCTTGAGCAAGGAGGACCTTGGTAAAAATGTAGACAGAGATCATAATATGTATTTGTTTTCTTCACAGTAGCCTGAGTAGTGCTAAACTGTAGTTCTCCAGGAACCCAGCTCCAGATGTTATTAAACTACTTTTCTTCCATCCCACCCACCCAAAAAAAAAACAAGTTATTTTGTTTGAAAATTAAAAACTAAGTTTCAGAAGTAGAGCCTGTAATACTTTCAACAAGAGACTTATAAATCTGAGAGTTCAAAAACCTTGGAAAAGAGTCTCTGTGCATTAGGGTGTATATCTGGAGCTGGGCATCTTCATACATGTGAGGGCTGGGATCCAACAAGTTTCTGTTGATCACTTCTCTCACCCGGGAATCAAGACTAACCTGAAGAAGATAAGAACAGAATAATATTAAACAACAATACTGGAAAAGCTGTAATATGTATCTTTTTTCCTCATGGCTCCGTTGAACATGCTGACTTTATCAGTTTATTTAGGTGATGCTCTGTGCTTCTTTCAGAGCCATCACACAATTACTGTGTAATGCACTGAGACCATCAACCCTATTTCAGTTTTGACTTGATCTTAGCATCCATCTTAAAATCTGTACAATGAAACACAGTTGTATAACAGATTAAATGCAGTGCAACTAAACTGGGCTCTGCAGTAACCTGAATTTTCCAAAATATGCTATTTTACCCTAAAAAAATAATTTTTATGTACTTAAAATTATTTCTCTGAAATTAATGTTGATTTAGCCTCATTCAGAGGGCTGAAATGCTTTTTTTGTGGTTTTTTTTTTTTCTTTTTTTTTTCCCCCCTGAGCATTTTTGGTTAAGCTTTTAGAAGCTTTCTATTCATCATTTTCACCTGGCTGCCTACAGTTTTTTGCCATTTTTTTCAGGCACTACTCTTGTTCCTCACAAATTACCCACAGTTTTTATAATTTTTAGTGTTAGTCTTCCCATTAATATTAACTATTTCAGGTTTATTTTCTTTTCAAGACTATTTAATATCTGGTAATTTATACTTTCAGGATATCATATGTCCATATTGAAGTTGTTAGCAAATTTCAGTTTTAGCTTCTCATTTACTTACAATTTGTAATGAACTGCTGTGTCTAGGCAGAAAAGGACATATTATGCTTGGGATGAATGCACAGATGATTTTAGCATATCATTTAGAAATTTGAGTGAATGTACAGCTTATCCACAAAATGCTCTAAAACCCAACAAATTAATGCCTTCTGGATTAAATAAAATGACAGTAGCAGGAAAGCCCACTGGGACCAGCAAGGTTTACTCAGCTAAGAAGAAAAAGGCTAAAATACTGAGCAGAGAAAGGCCAAGCAGAGATCAGTTAAGCTACTGTGATTTACACCAAATTGCAATCTGGCCCTGCTACTCTGCAGCCATACAAAAAGACATTCATAGTGCCTGAAGGATTGAATTCAACCATGGAAAGCTCCATGTACTAAGATACCTTGACATATGAAGGACAGTAGCTAGGATGAAAACTGAGAACATGTTTGCACGTGTGAGTTTGTGTGCTTTTATATGTGGTGAAGCAAAGTCTTTGAAACACACTGCTGTGGTGTGATATGGTATGGTACAGTATGGCACTGAGAAGTAAATATACATTTTCAGTATATCTTCAGTACCAACTGTAGAATCTGGCATTGTTGGTTTGTTGGCATATTGGAAGATGTTACTGACACAACAGACAAGCTCTTTCTCTTCCAATATTTGCTGTTACTTGGTTATCAGTCACAAAGTACAACTATGATGCAAATGAACTGCAAGTAAGCTGTTGCCTATTCATGCTAGAAACTGTACCTATTACTCAAGTACACTATCTCTGCAGAACATTCATTACACCTGCCCTACACACGCTCTCCAAGCACTCATTGCTGCACCTGCAAGCAGCACCCCAGGATGCAGCAAGCATCCCTCCTGTCCAGCTCTCAGATGGATGGGCAGCGAGCGCTGCTCTGTCAGTGGCTATGAACAACCTCTTCGCTTTCCCACCCTGCTGCTTCCACTCCTGGTTCTGGCACAGCAGCCCTACAGCTACATGAATTAAGGAATCTGAAAGCGGCATTTCTTTTTTGGGCTGTTTTCTGATTGAATTCACTGTTTAACTAAGGTATCCGTGCAAGCAGACTGGGTGGCACAGCAGGAACAAATGGACCAGTGGAATTGCTCAGCCAGTGACTGTGTGCAGGGATGTAGTGCTGAGGTAGTTTCAAGTGGCAGTGTTGCATCCGTGCATCTTCAGAATTTATTTGAATAGATTTCAATCCCAGATCATTGCATTTCTGCAGCACAGAGATGACACACTAAGATTTAAGCAATTCTCCCCCACACACAGGCACATGTATTTATATAAAAAAAAAGTTTGTGCAGGTAACTAACTGGCTATTCAATATCATATATAACAGTTTGGATTAAAAAAAAACCAAACAAAACCTCAAATTTGACAGGTTGGTGGGGTTCGGGGCCATTGAGCATAGTAAAAGTTAATAGGAATTATAGAATGAAAAAAAATTAATTATGGAACATTAATTTGCATTGTATTTCTTCAGTGACTCACTAAAGTCAGGTGGCAAAACTAGTTGGAATTACTAAAGGTATTTTCTTGATAAACAGATGAATACAAGGTTGTCTGTTTAGACCACCAAGACCTTCTGCCTCAATAACTTCATCACTGAACGAGTGATGCTAAATATTTCAGCTCTTATGCCGAAAGGTAACATCTGGAATGGGATGCCTGGATGAAAAGAACTTTTCAGCTCCCATGCTGTTCTAAAGCACTGCAAACAGTTCTTGTTTGCCTCCTAAGATTTCCAATACGGGCAGGAGAAACTGGATTGATGAGATCTGCACACACACAGTGCACCAAGTTAGTGCACCCTTAGTTAGTGTTTGAATTTTAACTGCTGGTTGATCTTAGCTTAAAAAGACAGCTGAGCATTCATCACATGTATATGTAGTAAAGATATTGTATTAGAAGAAAGACTCATTATTAGCTTGCTGTATTGATAGTAGTATCTCACTCAAGGCAAAAGTACACACTGGCACAACAGAAGATAATGGAGCTATAAATTGCTGTTGGCTTCATTCATATGAAGTTGCAAAGTATTCTTGAATGCAGTGCCAAAGTAAAATGTAGAATGCAAGGTCCACAGTGAGCATAAATTAGCCATTGAGTAGGAAGTCAAATGCAATGCACAGAGACAAGGCAAATGTGATAAAGGTACATTATGTGGTCTAAGAAAGACTCTTCCATAGTGCTTTTATATTTATGTATCTCTGTATATTCCAAAACATTGTTTAATAGGGCATGCTTTTGCTTTACTCTGGGTGAAGATAATTTCAAAATGTCTATTTCAATTAAAGGGTTGAAGAAAATCTAATATAATTTCCTAGATATTATATGTTTCATTGGAGAAAGTATGTGCTCTTCATTTTTGGACTTTCACGTAGGAATAACAAGAGCAAATTTGGATTTTCTCCCAAACAGCTGTTGCAGCACATAACTCTATAAGGATTCTGATTTAAATTCCTTAATTTTGGTGCCTTTTCTCCAGAAATCCATTTGTATTACTTACCTCCTCTCTCTGGCAGATATGTGGCATTACTGAAGATGCATATACCTACTTCTCAGCCTTCTCTTACTGGAGTTTCTTGAGTTTCTTCTTATAGAGAACTTAAATGTGTTGTGGTCAGTGATACTAAATGACCCAGCACCTGTGTCTCTACTTTTTCTGTCCCTTCCTTTCCTGATTTAATGTCCATACTAGGCCTTTCATCTGACAGATCAGGCAGACTTTCAGACTCCCATCCTGACAATTCAGGGTATAACATTTCTGCTCTGGAATAACAGAAAATACAAATGTAACATTTACAGATTTACCTCTTTTGGTGATAGTATAGAAATGTAATCTTCATATATAAGTCTTGCTTTTTCTTCAATAACTTTCTTGTTCTGTTCCTTCTTTAGATCTTCACATGCAAGCCAGAAAAGCAGGTTCTCCTCACTATACTCTGTTCTAAGAAACTCTCTGAAAAGGTTCCTCCCAGCTGGTGTTTTCATCATCTTGTCAAAATTCTGAGCCCAAGACAAAATTTCATCTGCAGTAGGGTTTTGGCTGCAAAAGCAAATATCATTACACATATGCTTCTATTTTTATAACAGTGTTTTCATACATTTGTCCAAAAATTCTCCTTTCAACTGCACTTTAGTCCAAAGTGAAAACTGGAAGCAACAAGGCTTCATCAGTGACGGGGGAATTTTGTTCACCCTTCACTTGTGCATTCATTATCTCAATAGCCCACTAAACATGTTTTATGTTACGAGACATGCACTTGGCTTTCTACAAGTTTTCTGCTAGTGTTCTTAGCCATGCGACCCAAAGACAAAATCCCACAGCAGCACTGAATTCCTATCTCTGCAGATAAAGAAGATGTGATTGCAGGAAGATGGAAATAGACTCTCTTTCATGAGGGTTTTAGATGACACCTGATGTTCCTGCCTGCTTCTGACGGTGACTGGCCAAAATTTGGCTGCCACACAATTTGGTTTAGGAAGAAAAAGAAAAATAAAAGCCTCTTGGCAGCCAAAAGCATACTAATGAGCCCCAACAAAATAGTAATTCAGAGAGCTTTTAAATTAGCATATTTCTCTGTGCTTGTGCCTAAGGGTTGCTAAGCTTCACTCTGTTTGGTGCTATTGACCTGAATGATGATCTATTGGCATGAGATGTGATGGATGTTGCTGGCACACTGGAAAGAGAAGAAATGGGAAAAAGTCCTTATTCCCATTTCCTGAAGGAAACTATTTGTGGCTTTTAACAGTGGATGCAGTGGATAAGTGATCAGAAGACTAACTTACGTCACTAATCCATTAATGTACCACTGAATAGCTTGAGAAGGTAATAATCTGAATTACTTAACAATTAAATACAGTTTCAAACTTAATTCTGAGTGCCCACCCTTCCCTTCCTGATCCAACACAAGGGCTTTGCTAGCTCTTGTCAATAGTTTCTGTGTAATCATAATGCACAATAAGTGACATTTGTCTATATAATTTCTCTTCAAGTCCATTTATCAAGTCTTACTCTGCATGCAAGGCAGACTGGATGATGGGAAGTTATTTGTGATAAATGATAAATCAGAGAGAGTTTAACATTTAAACTATCCAGCAAAATAATTGTAACCTGAATGAAGAAGTTTAAACACAGATGTGAAGGTGAAAAATCTTCTCTCTGAGGAGAGTGCAATCTGTCCAGGTGGATGTTGCTGACAAGCAACCTGTACTCCCTTACTGTCTGTTGGGAAGCTCTCTTCACTACAGTATTTTTTGGAAATTTATGACATTCTCCTCTCATAAAATACCATGATTAGCAATGAAGACAACGAGTTGTTTGGGTTGCTTTTACCATCAGACATGTCCTCTAAAGTTTTAATTTGCTTTTTCTGGGATTAGAGAACTCAGAGCCTCTGACAGTGTGTGTTCCACACACAACAAATATTGGCCCAAGCTTTAGACAGAAATAGAAGCTCAGACTTCCAGTGTGTTTAATCCAATTTTCAAGGTATGTGCTATTTAGTTTATTTGAGTGAAACCATTGTCCAAGCTGTTTTATGAATGGCAGCCATGTTGAAAATCTGATTGTGAAGTGCACTTGCCCATTAGTTTTTCTTCTTGTTTGGATAAACAGAAGAAAATGATCTGACAGGTAGCAGAGGCTTTTTATAGAGATCCACATATGGAACCATCCATGCACCTCCCATTCTTCCCCACAGTTCCTCCCCACAAATAAGAAACCATAAATAAACCTGACTTATGAATCAATGTCTCTGTTGTCATTTCATTGTCAGGACAGATTTTGCTTCTTTTTGCATAGATTTTTTTTGGAGGAAAAGCAATTAAAAGGACTTTCCCAAAGCACAAAACCCAAAGCAATTCTTAAAATTAGTTAAAGACAAATTAAAACATTTACTAGACAGCAGTTTGACCAACTTACCATTCTTCTATGACTTGGATACTCTCCAGTTTGGTCGTATGCGTTGGCCTTCCTGCATTGTCTCCTCTGTCTTCATTCCTAACAGTGAGGCTGCAATGTAGTACAACACTTTATTTTGTCTAGAGAAAGTTAATTTAAAACAATTACTATAGTAATGACAACTTTTAAAAGATATAAACCTATACAAAGTGTCATTTTTCACTCTTGCCTCTAAACTTTTGGAGAAAACTTTTTTATAATGACTTTTCCGCTGTGTTCTGATTAATATTAATTAACAGTTGCTATCAGCATGTGCATTTTTTTAGAAGCTCACAGTTTATCCGCTGAAAGGGAAAAACTTAGAGGTCACTTTTGGAGTGATTTCACTTAGTAAACTGAGAATATTAGTGACAATAAGGGTAGAGGGGGATACGAATATCTGAATTGGACATTGATGGGGTTTGGTGCCCCACCAGTTCTGGGTAGTTTTTCATTCTTCATGAACATTCCCTTTTTTGTCTCTAGGATATGGTAACAGTAGATGGCTCAGATACAGAACTTAGTATGTGGCAGCTCCTTATGATTTCCTCCTCTGACCTAAATTTGTTTTCCATTCCAAAAAGTAAAACTTACAAGCCTCTGAACAGAAAGGGATCCATTATCGTCATATTACCACAAGCAAGGAAAAGAAAGACTTCCTTTACTTGAGGACGTTTTTAATGTTTTTTCTTCTTTTTCAAAGCTGCTAACTAGCATCACTTATTTTTCTGCAGATACCTTTTTAATCAGATTTGCTTTAGTGGTAGCGGTATCCTCTGTGTGTGTTCTCTGTGAATGTTCTGGAACGTAGTATTGCCAGCACAACCACAATTCCTGATAACTATTGAAATAAAGTCTGTTTTGAGTGACATAGTTATTCATACAGGAAAGCTGGTTCCAATAATTAAGCTTAAGAAGCGGAATGTAGTAAGGAGATGGAAATTTCCCTTTATCGGGTGTTCCCTATGTATCCAATTGAGAGAAAACAAGCAACCAAGCAAAAAATCCCCCTCCCAATCCCAAGAGAGCTCATCTTTTGAATATTGAGTATTCACCATACAATGATGCTCTCAGTCATCCTTGAGTGTTGCTACACAAAAATATGTTGGTAGCATAAAGCTTCTCCCTCTCCCACTAATCTGAAAAGCTCAACACTCAGCTCTAAAAAGAAATCCCAGCTCTGAGACATTTTTAGTACAAAGAACCTTTCTTTCTAGACCCTCTGTATTTATAAGTCTCTTCAACACTTTTTTCAAGCATTTGGCAGACTTAATAGGTGATCTCAAACACTCTTCTGAAAACTGGAAGTTTAGGCTTCCAGGTAAAGCAGAGCACATATTAAGACTTAAACATTACAAAGACGTACACTTTCAAACGAAGCTCTTTGATACTGGTTGCTCCTTCACTTACCTGCCAAGACCTTAGTTCAGGCCCTTGGTCCTACTTCCCCTGTTACAGCGTAGGAATGCAGCTCCAGTGCTGCTAAGGTGTTAGGGTGTCATCAACTGCTGCAGGAGAAACAACACATCCTGAACTCTGGGGTTGGCAGGTAAAAAGCCTTTCTGTCTCCTCTGACCTGTTCGTCAGTCTAAAGAGGGAGCACCCAGGAAAGACAACAGGAGTTCCGTATACAGGAGGAGAAAAAAAAAGGGACCATCCACTTTCTTCTGTCTTGTAATCTTTAAGTCCCCACATGTAACTGCTTAGGGTCACCTTGCATCTGGCCAGAGTACAAAGTTGGGGTGAGGGAGAAGCAGGGAAGGCACAAAGCTGCTCTCTCTCCCTGCCTCCTTCCCTCCTTTGCAGTCCACAGGTAGAGCAGCATTTATCTTCTCTGCTGGGTGCAGAGAACTGAATGTCCTTTAGTTCCATGGAAGAATAACACCACGGAAGGAGGAAACAGCTTGTGTACATTGCAAATGTAACAGGGTGTTCACCTAAGTCCGTCTAAAAGAGAATGAAGCTACTTGTTTTCCTTCACCACATGAGCAGCAGCTAAACTGTTCTGATATAATTTACTTGTCAGGCAGTAGATGTCCAAGGATGTGGAGTCTTACTGGAAGTAGAAAGTGACTCATCTGAGAGCAGTCAGTCTACACTGGTAATTTAATTTATTGTCTGAGATCAAGCACTGTTTGTTTTGCTCACACAAAACCTTTGCTAGACTTAGGGAAACTATCATGAGTTGATGAAGGGGAAACAGTGAAGTAGTAGTGGTGAGGAAAATGAACAAGAAAGCCATGTTAACTTCACTGCACTTTTTTTTTTTTGTTTTAATCGAAGGGGTAACAGATAGGCATTATGCATTTTGATTTTCTACAGAACTACATCTCAATAAAAAGTTCAGATGGTGGGTCTGGAACATAGTGTATCACTTTTCTGGTATCTAAACCAGAGTGACAATATAAGATACACGCTTGGCACTGATTCCTTCATCTCAGCATTCATATGTGGAGTTTAATGGCTGAATTTAGTCAGAGTTGCAAAATAGGGAAGACTCTACAGACAGAAGTGTTATACTGGGTTGGAACACTTTCTCACGTTTGGGTATTGCATTAAAAACTGTGCTAAATTTATAATGCATCTTGGCCTAAATTCTGCATTATGTTTCCAGTGACAACCACTAGCACTACATTTCAACTTTTATTTATCTTCATCTGTCAAGGCAGATCCATTCCACTAGATACATTACTTTTGATATGTTTTTCCTGTGAATGAAACCATCATTTTTATACAGAAGTACATTCAATTCAGACATGTTCTGTTTTCACTCAAGGAACTGGTTCATATTCTCTGAGAAAAAAAAAATTAAATATTTACACATTTGTGACTGCAAAGCTAACTTGAATGCAGGCTTTAAATAACTGATCACAATAACAGACTGCTACCTTTTAACTCAAAATGACTACACTGCACTGCTCTTTCCTGTGTTGCTATCTTTAGCTAGAAATACACTGTCTGCTCACATTTCTCTGTGGAATTTAAGCAGTCCACAGCAGAAAAGGCATCCTGCATACCTGATGTCCCTGATGCTTTAATCCATCATTGAAGCTAGCTGATTATGTCAGAATTATGCTGTATAGTGTAAAACTAAACAGACTAAAAGTAACAGGCTAAAGATTAACAAAATGATCTTACTTAGTTAAGGCTTTAAGAAGAGGAAGTTGCTGATTTACCTTATCAAAAATAGTTAGATGAAATGGAAGTGTTCTAGAGAGACATCTGATGTAAATTAACATCTATGATGCTACTATTATTTATTAGTTGGAATACACTCAGCAGATATCTTTAAAATTTAGAGATGCAAATCGATAGCACACATGATAAAAGCACAACAAAACTACCAATGCCTTAAAAAGAGAGAGTTTGGGATGTCTAATGACAGAGTTTAAATGGCAAGCATAGCACGTGTTTGTTTTCTGTTCCTGTGGAAGGTTTGTTCTGCCCACTTGTATGCTGATTTTATTTCTCTGGAGAGTACTGTTAAAAGTACTTCAGTGGCCTGAGCTTGATGTACCTTTCAAATACATCTTGGGTTCCTGACTGCTACAAAACCAATAAGTTTCTTAAACTACTGCAACAGTATTGTTATGAGAAATTTCTGTTTGGAGTCAGTGTATTTCCATTTTGCAACTTCACATACTTTATAAGTAAAAATTTTAATGATCAGGGACTACTTGAAGAAGTATACAAATTGAATAAATGAACACAAATAAGGTTAAACTGGTCCAGGTTCCTAGCTGATGTGTTTTTGGAGGAAATACTGGGATTCAGAAAACCAATCTTTATTTATTTAGCCGCTATTATTTGGCTGTTAATATTCACGTTCAGCAATTAAATAATTGTTCTGTTGTGTAATTACTTAGCTAAATCAGTATTGCTGCACCCTGGTGCATGAGAAGCTAAAAAAGCCAAGCTAATTGGAAAAATCATCAGGAGAGTTGAACTAATTTAAGAGCAAACATCTCACTGACTCTTCCTCCAGGTGTTTCCATCTGGTGGTTTTAGCTTTTTTGTAAGTCTCATCCCTACTGCTGCACTTTTCTACTGCCATTAAGAAACTGAAAGTAAATTAGAACTTGGACCTGATCTTTCATTCTCTGTATATCCAGTAAACAAATGGTATTTAATTGCTTCCCAAGGGCCAGGTTCTTATGTACCATTAGCCTAAATCTGGTGAATCAGTGAAACGACTGTTATCAGCATGGCAAGAAAACCATGCCATTGTGACAGGTGCCAAGGTTAATCTGCTCATGCATGGCTGACACCAGTTACTACTCACTCAGGCATTTTCTCAGTTATGTGTATCATATGCAGTATATCACCACAGTATTTTGCAATTATGTCTGGCATTGAAGACAATGTGACTATTAAAACCTCTTGCCTTAGTGGTGGTTTTTATTGCTGTCATGAAAATAAGGAGTAGAAATCAAACTGGGACACTGTGCACTAGTTTGGTAGGCTATTGGGTGGCCATTCAGGAGATCTGCACTCAGTTTCTACTTCTTGGCTTAAGTTTGTAGATGCTAGGCTCTGCTGGGCAGTGACTGCATTTGAGGCTGAACCTGTGTATGTCACTTAGTAGGGCCATGAGCCTTCAAGCCACCACTGTAACACAAAAACCATCCTTATTCCAGCAAAAAGGCCACATTAAGTCAATTGCACATACAATCTAAAGGCATAATTTAGTTTTCAGGTGAAAATCAATATTCAGTTAAGATTCTCTGGGTAACAGATGTTCTGACGTTTCCTTCACTGATCTACCCTTTGAAAGAATATATCTCACTGGCACCACACTTCACCCTATCCTACTCCTAGGAATTTTTATAATCATCAGATCAAGAGACACGATATTTTTAGTTTTCTTAAAAAAAAAAAAACCCACAACTCTCCCCACCAAAAAATCCCAAGATGTAATTGTGAATTTAAAATTCCACTGGGTAGATGATATAAAATGACCATTCCCCAAAAGTGTTGACAAACACAAGTCAAATTTACCAAACAGATTCAGAGAGGAAATAATTTTTCATGACTGTTTGGAGGAGGAAAATCTTTTAAACAAACATTATTGC